TAACATTAAGCCCAATGCTGTAGATTCAGACGACTCGGCGATTCATTGTGATGAGACTTAATGCCAGAGGAATAACGAACGAATAATAAACAATAAAAGTGCTGCAACATCTTCAATAAAACAGAAAAATGTATGCTTTTGTCTCTTTTTACTTTAACTGTAGTAGTCTGTTTTTGTTACTAATATTTTTTTTATGCCGTGCACTTCTTCAGACCCTCTTGTGCACCTGTCCTGGATGTTGAATAGAAATGCACATGCAATTCCATTCACATTCATCTTTCAAAGAAGAAAAGTGCATGAAACCACTTTATAACGGTGGACTACAATGTGAAAATGTACTGACAACAGATCACTACATCTTTGAACAGGCAACACACAACTCAAACTGACACGAAACAACTCTGGTTACCTGCTGACTTGATTTCGCTCGTGCTGTGAGGGACATTTAAAGTAACAGGAGCAGCACAACTGCAAGACCACCATCTCGACTGATGAGAGACCGCATTTGAACTCTGTTAAGTGTGATGAGTTAATTTACTGGCTTTGCCAAGTAATACTTCCTGTAATTTTGAGGAGGCACACTGTGAAGGTAATCTACAGAGATCACTGTCAACGTGCCTGTAAAGAATCGGAGGCTATTAAAATGCATGAAATCCTAACGACGCTGCATGACCACCAGCATGGATATCCATTACACTAGGGCTGTTTTTGGCTTTTGCAAAATGGATAAAGATAAACAGAGGTCTTGGATGAAGTATTGATCAACTGATCATTTTGTTGGCACACAAAATCAAAAACTCATTTTGAAGCATCTTAAAAAAAATATGCTGATTTGCAAAAAGGCCTAATATTACCAAATTTGATGATGCTACATTTAAACATATCAATAAAAACTTTCCATCATGTATAGTTTTTTTCCCACAAAATACTGTAAAAATTAAAATATTTCAAATTATATATACTGTATGTATGTATCAGCTTATGCACTTATCAAAATAACAGAAGCAGTCACAAGTTTTAATAACAAAAAGTATTCAAAATTAATCATATAAGTTATAATATGCAGAAGAGTAGAAAAATATGGTCAAATACTCCATTTAATGTCAAATTTATAAAGGTAAAAAAAAAGTCTGTCATTTCCTGGCACTGTTTGTATGTAGTAAAATACCCACATATGTAGCAGAAATCATCTGGATCATGTTTGCATTTTATTTCTGTCACTGGCCATAATTTTAACCTTGAAATCAGGATTAGGCATAAATAATGTCTTCAGACTCATTCATAGATGTGAAAACAGGCTGAGAATTGAACAAATAGTTATAGTCTGGCTCAAAATCAGACGGGAATCATGTCTTTGTGACCATTTTTCTGCTGATTAACGATAATACAAGACCTTTTCACCTTACAGGTGGCTGTCGAAAGCACAAATGCTACAAAATTAGTCATATTATGTAAGAAAATGATGACATGCTCAAGCAAAACAGCCACTATTTTTGGAATCAGCCATCCAGAATTAGTAAAAAAAACAAGTATTGGATTTCATTCAGTAAATATGATGCAGGGCAGCCTATGCTCAGCATTAAAAAAAGGATAAAATATTCTATATTGCATGCAATTTTGCATCCAATAAGAAAAAAAAGATGCCAAAATAGTGATGTATATCTGGACAATAAAAAGCATTTAAAAGTGCAGGTCATCAGCTTTTAAAGCTCTAATGTACTGCTCACATCCCTCAAGAGAACTAACAGTGCTTTTGACCCCTTCAGGGAGGAGTTTTTGAAGCTACAGCAGCAAATGAATGGATGTAAAGGTGCTTTCTGGACAATGGCTTTGTGTTTCTCTCACACTGACCTTTTCAAGATCAAATGGGCCAACAGCACTTTAGATCCCACATCAGAGACCTGAGGGAAAGGTTAGCTCATCATAATGTCACGGGACGAGCTGAATACAACTACACACGACTGTACATGCACCATATAGAGACTGAGCTGATCTGTGCGGAAAACCAAGACCGTTTGCCCTCAATGGCTGGACAGTTGGACAAATTAAGGTTCAAAGAGGCAAGGCTGTAACAGTAAAAAAGAGAGAATGGTTGAATTGAATTCCGGCACATTCCACTGGACTGGAAAATAAAATAAAAGAAAATAATCATATGAAATTTAATAGCTATTTATTTATTTTGACATATTAATCATGTATAATCTGTTATAATCCAGCTGCATTTATTTGATAAAAAATACAGTATAAATTTTGAAATATTATTACAATTTAAAACAGCTGTTTTCTATGTGAATATCTGTTAAAATGTAATTTATTCCTCTGATCAAAGCTGTATTTTCAGCATCATTACTCCAGTCTTCAGTGTCACATGATCTTCAGAAATCATTCTAATATGCTGATTTGCTGCTCAAGAAACATCTTTGATTATTATCCATGTTGAAAACAGTTTTTCAGGATTCTTTGATGAATAGAAAGTTCAAAAGAACAGCATTTATTTCAAATGGAAATCTTTTGTAACATTATAAATGTCTGTACTGGCACTTTTGATTAATTTAATGCATCCTTGCTGGATAAAAGCATTAATTTCTTCCAAAATAAAAGACTGCAAACTTGTCGCCTGGTTCTGATGATTCATTTTGAAAAATGCTTGACAATATGTCCATTCATAAGAGTCTGCTGGCTCAAAAAAGCACATTCAGGCTGAAAAGAACAAACTAGGAGTCACTGTGTAATTAAGTGTGGAAAACATCTTGTGCCTTACATACTTTCACTCTTGAAAGCGCAGCTGGTGGTGGGTTTGTAGGTCCATCAGCAGTCAAGACGTCTGGGAGAAGTGTGCCTGATTTCAAGGACAGCTGGGTCACTCTGTGCCAACATGCGAGCGAACACACGCCGCAGACAGACGGCACTCAGACTACTTGTCATCTACATTCACCTCACTCACGCTGCTCAGGAACGATGAAAGCAGAGCAAAGAGATCGGAGCCCGAATGATTAACAAACACATCAGGGAGAAGCAGCCTCTCAGTGAAAGCGCTGCTGATAAAGAGGAAAATAAAGCCAGCATGGTGCAAATGCAAAGGAGAAGGAGGGGCTGAAAAGCACTGGAGCTGGAGGAACGAGACGTTTAAAATGTCATAAAAGCAGCAGGGATCAGCAGACGGGAGCCGCATGTCATTCAACTACAAATAATGATTATCCGTCACTTTAACAGACTTGCTTGTTCATTTTCAGTCATGCTCTATTTTTATTTTAGACCATTTCATTTCTGAATGCAAATTAAATTTTGATAGCCAAAATTAACTACTGCAAATCGAAAATGCCAACAATTTATTCACTTATTTGCTCAGAAAACATAAAAAACTTACAATTATATATATATATATATATATAGTCTTTTTTTAGTAGAAGATCTTTAAGCCAGAAGTGTTAGAAAAACAGTAGATAGCTACTAGATACCACACTTATTTTGCAACAACGCCAAGGTGTTTGATTGTAACAGATATTATTGCATTCTGGTGTCATTTGAGAATGACATTTGAGATATTAGGATGGAAGTAGAGATGTCTGTTGAAGGACCCTGATTTAACTCTGGACTCTTAAAATAACTCGGGAAGACATATATTTTTCATTTTAAAATGTTTATATATGAAATTATTCATTTATTTACATTCATAATAAATGTACATTATTTTATATTATGCATATAATATTTACATATTTTATATATACACACCCACACACATATATATATTTATTTTTTATATTTAAATTTATTATTTTATTTTTTTTTACAAATGTTTAGGTATAGCAAATCATATATTTCATATAGCAAATTAATACATTATATTACAATAAATATAATATGTTACCCTGGACCACAAAACCAGTCATAAGGGTACATTTTTCAAAATTGAGATTTATACGCTGAATAAATGAGCTCTCCATTAATGTATGGTTTGTTAGGATAGGACAATATTTGGCCGAGATGCAACTATTTGAAAATCTGGAATCTGAGGGTGCAAAAAAATCAAAATATTGAGAAAATCATCTTTAAAGTTGTTCAAATGAAGTTATTAGCAATGCATATTACTAATAAAAAATTAAGTTTTGATATATTTACGGTAGGAAATTTACAAAATATCTTCATGCAACATGATCTTTACTTAATATCCTAATGATTTTTGTCATAAAATAAAAATTGATAATTTTGACCCATACAATGTTTTTTTGGCTATTGCTACAAATATACCCCAGCGACTTAAGACTGGCTTTGTGCTCCAGGGTCACTTATTATAATTATAATACAGTGTATATAATACAAAAACAATGCATATTATATAAATTTATGCAATAAACATGAAATGTCATATGTATGTAATATGTATTATAATATATATGGTATAAATTGTATGTGCACTATATTTATGTATATACATTTTTCCTATATATAAACATTAAAAAAATATGTATACATACAAAATCATATTCAATGTATGTTTATATATACAATCACAGTAAGTGTATGTGATCCCGAATAGACCGGTGTCAGACTGCATCTTGTTTTAAATGAGCCTCGGTTCACCTGTCCATAAATGTAGAAACTCTCTCATAAACAATGCGTGCTGCACACAGGTGTCCTGATCGAAAGCCTGTCGCTTTGTCAGCATGAAAATAAACATATGCAACTCATGTTTCAGTGCGGGATCAAATCACCGTTTGAAGCGCCTGCCATCGGAAAAGGTCACATGCAGATATTAATAATTATGCGACAATGCTTTCTCATAGGATTAAGCCACACAGGCTCATGAATGATAGTGAGACGGATGATGTTGAGTCACTGCTGACTTCAAACCCGGAAGAAAATCCCTCCACAAAAAACCTAAATGAAACTCTGTACACTACCAGAAAGTTGAGACACACATAGAGAGGCGTGCTATAGAAAGGCACATGTGGACCTGAATAACGGAGGAATATAAGAGGAGACGAGGAGAGACTCACCGGGAATGTTGTGTATGGTGATGGCCAGGATCAGCAGAACGATTCGCCTCCAGCTGCTTCCTGTTTGACCGCTCACTTCCTGTGCTTTAGGACTCACGTCATGCTCCTCTGTGTGGCCGGTGTTGAGACCCCTGCGTCTCTGATACACCTCTCCATTCTCGATTTTATCTAAGAGAAACAGGAACTGCATGTCAAACATCTTCTCCAACATAATTTTTTGGAGAACGCCACATTTCAATATGCAAATTACACAAACCCTGAAAGGATCAATAAAACAATTCATTAGTCAGTATATAATCACACAATCTGAACAGGGCTGTGAACCTAAAAAAAGCTGTAAAACTAAAAAAAGAAAATGAAAAGACGTTAAAACGGCTGATAAAATGAGACCTCTCGGGGCTGACCAGCAACATTTTCTAACGCAATTTCTTTCACTGACCGTTTGTTGAAATCAAGCCACATTAACTTAAATAGCGTTTCATACAATACAGTACAACACTGGAAAATAACAGTGTTAATACTGCAAAAATCATCAATTATGAAACTAAATTTCAGGTCTGCAGAATGTTTGCCAGCCAGCCAGACAGCCAGCCAGACAGACAGCCAGCCAGACAGCCAGCCAGACAGACAGACAGACAGACAGACAGACAGACAGGTGAAAATGACATGGATCTGTGATTGATACTTTAGTTTGATTTGACTGATGAGAGAAATGTCTGGACTTGTAGCAAACAGTGAATCTCTAATTAGGATCTGTTATAATTATAATCTGTATTTTTTGGTGAAAAAAACAATATTAAACAGAAAATATATATTTTTTTTAGTAACATGTCAATGTAATATTCTTATATTAAA